CAACAAGTACTGCCGGTGTCACTACTACTACTGATGTTCCAACAAGCACAACTACTGCTGGTGTCACTACTACTACTGATGTTCCAACAACCACAAGTACTGTTGGTGTCACTACTACTACAGCTGTTCCAACAACAACAAGTACTGTTGGTGTCACTTCTACTACAGATGTTCCAACAACAACAAGTACTGCTGGTGTCACTACTACTACTGATGTTCCAACAAGCACAACTACTGCTGGTGCCACTACTACTACTGATGTTCCAACAACCACAAGTACTGTTGGTGTCACTACTACTACAGATGTTCCAACAACAACAAGTACTGTTGGTGTCACTACTACTACAGATGTTCCAACAACAACAAGTACTGCAGGTGTCACTTCTACCACAGATGTTCCAACGACAACAAGTAATGCTGGTGTCACTACAACAACTGATGTTCCAACAACAACAAGTACTGTTGGTGTCACTACAACTGCTGATCTTCCAATAACAACAAGGATTGCCGGTGTCACTACTACTACTCAAGTACTGCCGGTGTCACTCCTACTAAGGTGGTTCCAACGACAACAAGTTATGTTGCTGATGTTCCAACAAGCACAACTACTGCTGGTGTCCCAACAACAACAAGTTCTGCTGTTGGCACTTCTACTAATCATGTTCCAACAACAACAAGGACTGCCGGTGTCACTAGTACTACTGTTGTTCCAACAACCACAAGTACCGTTGGTGTCACTACTACCACAGATGTTCCAACAACCACAACTACGGACGGTGTCCCTACTACTACAGATGTTACAACACCAACAAGTACTGTTGGTGTCACTACTATTACAGATGTTCCAACAACCAAAAGTACTGTTGGTGTCACTACTATTACAACAACAAGTACTGCAGGTGGCACTTCTACCACAGATGTTCCAACAACCAAAAGTACTGTTGGGGTCACTACTACTACACAACCAGTACTGCAGGTGTCACTACTACTACTACTGATGTCCCAACAACCACAACTATGGCAGGGGTCACTACTACTACAGATGTTCGAACAACAACAAGTACTGTTGGTGTCGCTACTACTACAGATGTTTCAACAACAACAAGTACTACTACTACTGATGTACTATCAACAACAGTTTCTGCCGGTGTCACTAGTACTACTGTTGTTCCAACAACAACAAGGACTGCCGGTGTCACTAGTACTACAGATGTTCCAAAAACACCAAGCCCTGCCTTGGTGTCACTTATACTACAGATGTTCCAAAAACACCAAGCCCTGCCTTGGTGTCACTTATACTACAGATGTTCCAAAAACACCAAGCCCTGCCTTGGTGTCACTTATACTACAGATGTTCCAACAACCAAAAGTACTGTTGGGGTCACTACTACTACACAACCAGTACTGCAGGTGTCACTACTACTACTCAAGTACTGCCGGTGTCACTCCTACTAAGGTGGTTCCAACGACAACAAGTAGTGCTGGTGTCACTACTACTACTACTGATGTACCAACAACAACAAGTACTGCAGGTGGCACTTCTACCACAGATGTTCCAACAACAACGAGTACTGCCGGTGTCACTCCTACTAAGGTGGTTCCAACGACAACAAGTAGTGCTGGTGTCACTACAACAACTGATGTTCCACCAACAACAAGTACTGCCGGGGTCACTCCTACTACACAACAAGTACTGCAGGTGTCACTACTACTACTACTGTTGTTCCAACAACCACAAGGACTGGTGGTGTCACTACTAGTACAGATGTTCCAACAACCAAAAGTACTGTTGGTGTCACTACTATTACAGATGTTCCAACAACCAAAAGTACTGTTGGGGTCACTACTACTACACAACCAGTACTGCAGGTGTCACTACTACTACTACTGATGTACCAACAACAACAAGTACGGTTGGTGGCACTACAACTACTGATGTTCCAAAAACAGCAAGTACTGTTGGTGTCACTCCAACTACTGATGTTCCAACAACAACAAGTACTGCCGGTGTCACTGCTACAACTGATGTTCCAACAACCACAACTACTGCTGGTGTCACTACTACTACTACTGATGTTCCAACAACAACAAGTACTGTTGGTGTCACTACTACTACAGATGTTCCAACAACAACAAGCACTGCCGGTGTCACTAGTACTACTGATGTTCCAACGACAACAAGTTCTGTTCGTGTCACTACAACTACTGATGTTCCAACAACAACAAGTACTGTTGGTGTCACTACTACTACTGATGTTCCAACAACAACAAGTACTGCTGGTGTCACTACTACTACTACTGTTGTTCCAACAACAACAAGTACTGCCGGTGTCACTGCTACAACTGATGTTCCAACAACCACAACTACTACTGGTGCCACTACTACTACTGATGTTCCAACAACAACAAGTACTGCCGGGCTCACTACTACTACAGATGTTCCAACAACAACAAGCACTGCCGGTGTCACAAGTACTACTGATGTTCCAACAACCACAATTACTGTTGGTGTCACTACTACTACAGATGTTACAACAACAACAAGTACTGCCGGTGTCACTTCTACTACGGATGTTCCAACGACAACAAGTTATGTTGGTGTCACTACAACTGCTGATGTTCCAACAACAACAAGTATTGCCGGTGTCACTACTACTACTACTACAGATGTTCCAACAACCAAAAGTACTGTTGGTGTCACTACTACTACTGATGTTCCAACAACAACAAGTATTGTTGGTCTCACTACAACTACTGATGTTCCAACAACAACAAGTACTGCCGG